AAAACCCCCCCCCCCCCCTTTTTTTTTTCCCCTTTCCTGGAAAAAAATGTGTTAAAATGATTAATTACAGTTTGCAGAAGCTTCTACAAATGGGCTAATAGACCGGTACTTAGTGACCTACACATGTGTTTTATTAATTTTTTTCATAGCCCTTTAATTAATATGTATTTCTGCCTGGGAAACCTGGCTTGGCCAAGGGTGCCAAGAATAGAAAATATTAAGTAACCACCTGCATGTCAGAACATAATAATTTTGACAAATATTACGGCTAATGTACAATGACGGTATCTTAAAGTTGATTACATTTACATTTTTCCTCATCTTTTTTAATGTGTTTGTTAATGGTTATTTTATTTCATACATGCAACCTTATTTTCGTATGCAGTCTTGAGTCACACATAAATATGAGACTAATCTGAAGTGGTCATTCACAAATTACTTTGCATGAGTTTGTAAAAACCCATCTCCCTGCAATAATATCAATGGCGACCACTTAAGTTTTTGAACCACTTTCTATTTCTTCTTGTTTCTACATTTATCCTGTCTGGTGAGGAAGGATGTTAGCCAAATTTTTCTTCTTTTATTTTCCTGTCTTTATATTTCCAGCCTCCACATACCTTGTTCTACTATTTCATTCACACAGCTTGAACACAGTCCTTTATTTAATTATCCCTTACTGATATTAATAGTTTAAGTTTTTTAAAATCACAATTTCAAAAGCCCAATGATTAGATAAATCGTTAGTCTTGTGTCTGTTCAAAGTTTAAGATGTAAACATACTTTCTAGCTAACCCACTGGGTACGGTACTGAGTTGCAAAGAACTAGTGATCGAGAACACTTGTTATGGACATAATAGCCCACCCTAATCTTTTACTGTAGTTTAAATGCTTTGGCTTTCCCCATTCTCTCTCACTCATTTTTTCTACATTATATCCTCACACCTGTTTCATCTTACTAAAATAAATCAATATCACGAGTAGAAATAGAAAACTTTTGTGATGGTTCATTTTTTAAATTAGTATTGGTATGTAATAGAAAAGACAGTTGCTTATTTAAATAAATAATACTCGATCACAATTTAAATATTAGAATGATATCATTTTATTTGGTAAAAACTTCAAAAATAAACATTTTCAATCAATTATATCCAAAGAGTCTTATAATAGTAATTAACATAAAACATTGTTAAAACACACAGTTCAGGTATGAGTTATTTTTAACTTTTTATGGTGCTCAATCACCTTAATATGACCATTATATATGACCAATATGACTGCACACACTTCTTTAAGTCTTTTACTAACAGCTCAAATATAGTAAAATTATAGACGACCATTTCCACTAGTGGGGCACTTTTATGTAGGCCATTAATTTATGATATTCAAATCAATGTATCAAGTCTTTTCTTTATCCAGTAAATTATATTATTTGCGTGTCACATTCAAAAGAAATTATGTTACAAAACTAAGAGGCTGTCAGTTAAACACTTGGAAAACATGGTAGGCCTATTCTAAAGATGATTCTCTGTATTATAGAAAATCAAAAGTGACCTCTTTAAACATTTTGGAACTTCAGTAAATATGGCAATGATCAATAAGCCAGCATATTTTGGTTTTAGTAGTTATGTAACATTTCCATTTTATTATTAAAAGAAACTGGGGCTCCAACTCCAACCTCTACTTTCCATAACTTGAGAATTGTAATTAATATCCAACATATTGATGAGGATAGTTCACATGTCATCTATGGCGTCCCAACTGTCCAAGGGCTAAGGGACATGATGATATTGAGTTTGTGTAAAATTAATTTTTAAAAAACCCTTTTATTTTAGTTGTTATATGAAGGTTTTGATCAGAGGCCTAGAGATTCATTATTTATCCACATTTCATTCTAATAGGCATTTTCATTGTCTGCATGTTTTTTTTAATTTTGCATTTTTAACCCAACATTTCCCTATACTGAACAAGAGTTCTGATCTAGAACAGTTTGGAGAAACATCAGTGAAGAAATTCCAAAACTATTTGTTTACAAATTTAACCCTGGGAATCTGTGAAGAAAATTTATAATATTGAGCTACTTAAATATTATTAAGACTTAAATACCAATATGTTTTATGTTTAAAAACTGTAAAAAATTGTTCATTCTGAAATATTCATTCTCCTGACCATATAAGAGTGCTTCAGTTTCTTTTAGGACAATTAATTATTTTACTTAATTTAAGGATTTGCTAATCCTATCATAAAAACTCCGGCAAAACTTGTCTGTTGGCGGAAGTAAACAAGTCCATGTCCTGATACTGTCACACGAATTATGTCCCCTGCTTCAAGGTTAAAAACTCCACCTGTGCAAATTTAGAAATTCATATTAAAAAAGGAAAGAAATTTTACCCATAGTTGCTCTAAATTATATGGAAAAAAAAATATTTTAAATTTAAGTATTACTATTAAGTTAGAAGATTATAAGTAATCTGATTTCATTGATATATTTGTAGGACCAGGGATAAGAAAATATTGTTTCCAGGTATACCAACCTAGGCATGTTAGAAAAGTTTTTCAATTAAAACATTGTATGTTGATCAAATATTTACTCAGATTAATTTGCTTTAAAAAAAACTAAAATAATAGCATCCATTTTAAGAGACCATGCATTCCCCAAACTCACCAGTGTAACTTGTCTCTTCATCCATGGTGCAATCATCACAGCAGGTGTGAGCTGTCTTAAGGAGACAACCAGTCTGGGCGGGGTTGTTAGGGGATAGTTTTTCAACTGAATGGCCCCAAGTCTGGGCATGGAATAAAAGTCCATTAATAAAATACAGAAAAGTTATCTTTCATTATTTCTAATATTTTTTAATCTAATTCCATTAATTTTTGTAATGTGGCAGTCAATAAATTGTTTCCATCTGTTTTTCTGGTGACTTCCTAACAATGAACATGGAGTTAAAGTTTGAAAAACATAAAAATAAAACTGTCTATTAAGAATCAGTCAGCAGCACAGGAATATTCACAGTCTACTGCCATCAAAGAAATAACTATTAGAAATAACAGACATGCTTCACTATTATTTATCAAAGGAATTTTTTTTAATTTTAAGTCTTGAACATATTTTCTTTCATAAATACTTATTAAAACTTACTGTGTATAAGAAGCTCTTGCAAGGGTGAGCTGACTCAGGTCTGAAGTGTATGCTGCTATACACATAATATGCACCTGAATAAACTATTCTCAAACCATCGTTCAAAACCTCAACGCCATGTTTATGCTCCAGTAAAGGATCTGACGTGCTTTTTTCATATTTGAAAAGTACATGGACACTGCTATTTTCAAACCTTGGAACTACCGTAAAAGAAAAGTTGTGTGTTATTTATCCTTTTAAAGCTGAGATAAAACTTATAATAAACTTTATACAATTAGGAATTTAAAACAAAACACACATCATAAACGAAGAAGTAAATTTTGGGGAACAGCAAAATCTCAAGGACTTTCCAAAACAAAATATGCAATCAAAACTAGACTAGAACTAAAATGTTTAAGTTAAAATATTAAGTAGAAAATTGTTGAATAAATTTTTCAACAATTATTATTAGAGATATAAATTGAGTAAAAGAATTATAGGTTCAGAAAATGATATTGCAGTTTCATATTTAATAATTTAATTATTATAGAAATAAAATACATTTCCATAATACCTCTTTTTCTGTAATTAACCTCTGGAAATGGATTTTTCGGAGGGTACAGACGTTTGTGAGCAGACACTGGACTGAACTTGAAATCAGAAACATTGAAATCTGGTAAGGGAGCTGAAAATACATGTATCATACATGTAGTATTATGTGTTAAATGTAAAGTGGTTAATGGCATTTTAAATAAAAAAATTTACGACCATTTCTAATTACAATTTATTCATAAAGGCTCTTATGTGAATCAAATTATCAACATTTGAGTTTTTGTAATTTTCTCAGGGGCTACCATAAACTCATTTCTTTTTTCTCTTTTATTTTACATGAAAAAAGAAAAGATACTACTGCCTTTTTTTTAAACCAAAAGAAAAGTTGTTTTTTTAAATTAATATTACTTTTGCTTTGAAGAATCTAACTGAACATACAGAGAAATAAACATTGAAAAATAATTTAACATCATAGCTCTTGCTACATACATAATACTATATAACACTATTTTTTTTAAACTTTTAATAAAAATGATGAAAAGGCTAATAAGTACTTTACCAGTATTAACCCTTTGCAGTCGCATGCTCTGATGATCAAACAAAAAAGATTTGATTTTTTAAAATGTGTGCTTGACAACTTGCATAACTTGGTACAGTAAATAAAACAATGTTACAATTATCTTTCCTTTCTTAAATTATGAATCCTTTGATTGCTTCAAAGTAAATATTAATTACTAAATAAAATAAAGAAAATAGACATAGTTTGAAATGAATTTGTTCCCATGATGAAGAATGTTGTGATACATGGATTTTTAACATTTTTGTTTGCTCAAAACATCTCTTGTATACAACAATCAACAAATTAAAATTTGTCCCCCACAAAACACATATTTTTCTCCAGCCTACTATTAGTTCAACTCCTTAGACCAGTGGTTCTCAACCTGTGGGTTGTGACCCCTTTAGGGGTCAAACGACCGTTTCCTAGGGGTCGCCTAAGACCATTGGAAAACACACATTCCAACCCCCAGTTCATAACACCACTGCTGAGTCGCCCTTGCAACTAGTGAAGCATCCCATTGAAACCCATGCACAGTAACATCGCAAACCCCTCTGAAACATAGGAGCCAGAATGATCAATTCATTGATCGTGGGCCCTCAAAATAAAGAAGAAGACACATACTCTACAGTTATGCAGTATCCAAGAAAATAATTTTGTAGTTGGGGGTTGTCACAACATGAGGAACTGTATTAATGGTTAGTGGCATTAAAAGGGTTGAGAACCGCTGCCTTAGACTATAAATATCTTATCTGACCTGTACAATTACATTTACAGCTTTGTTACCCACCATTTCAATCAAGGCAGACAACTGTGAGTTGTTGTGAGCACAACATTTCTCCACACCATCCTCAAAGACCTTGTCCAGGGAATCCATCAGTGGATCTGCCTCAGACAAGTCGTATGGGTTCTTTATTATCTTGATGCATTCAATGCAAATCACAGGGGGCTTTGATGCAGATTCCTCAATCTAAAGTTAAAATAATCAAAATTTCACACAAAGTTGGTTTACAAACTACTGCAAGAAGAATTCATAGATGACATCACACAGTTTTGGCTAATGTTTTTACCCCTCCCTACTCCTCATCAGCACTCTGCTTTGTAATATGTCAGACCTCCCCCCCCCCCCCCCCCCACATCATACATCCTTTATCCCTTTATAAATACCACTTCACAAAATTCTGAATCCCCCTTCCCCCCCCCCTCTCTCTCACTTCACAACCGAGTGTACTGTTGAATAAACCCTTGAAGACTTACTCCAAGCTGCACCTCCAAGTTCAGAGCTATGATACTGATGCTGACAACAATAATACAGAGAACGATGGAGATCAGAGAAATCACTGTCACCAGCCTGTGAAAGGAAATACGTACCCCAATGTTGAACTAGAGCTAGTGGAATGTCACATTTTCTTGTATATGTTATCTTGATAAGGGGCATCAATACTACTAATATCAGCTTTTATGTAAACGTGAACCGCATAGACGATTAGTTGTAAATGTAATTTTCATATATTATGTAAACGTATTTAAATTTAGTATATGTGTAATTTAAAGCCACTTGTAAATGGTGTTGATTCTTTTGAGCTATGTTATCGAAATAATTGAAACAGTTCATATAAAATGTGACTAAAATAAAACCAGGCTACAGGAACCAATCACTCACCCATTCAAAACCACAGATATTTGAAAAGTCTTAGAAATTAAAATGTATAACCTGTTATTATTATGTTTGTTATAAATTAGTCAACTTTATTTGAAAGATCAGCTGATCACATAAACACTAAAACTTAAAATTTTAATTTACCATAGGAGATTCTTGTTTTGTGGTGCTTTTGGCCGTGGGGACACATTGCCCAGTAGGCCTGTCCTACTGTCTTGTGAGTCTTGTGATGATCCAGAACTCACAGAACTATTATCATATGCATCCTTACCACTCAAGACTATTATTTGGCATTCAATGCTTAGAGGATCCTTAATTTTATAATCATAGGCATGTTTCCCACTCAAGACTTCCTGTTGGCCTTCAATGCTAAGAGGATCCTGAACTTTATTGGACATCCTGTGAAGTAATAGTAATGTTTTTGGGGAAAAAATAAAAGATAAGCAGCTTGACAGTTGAGAAAACATAACTAAAATTAATTTTAATAGTTGAAGAACCCTCACAATATTTATTTAGGCCTACACTAAAATCTCACATTTTATCAACAGTAGCAAAAAAACATTTGGTAAATCTAGGAATTATAAAATTATAATAAAATGTCTTATTTAAACAATTTTTTTCACAATGACAAACGTAATTGTACATTTACCTAGTAATAGTAATAAATTAATGAAATGAATTTTTAAAATTATTTAATTGAAATATATAATTATACCATTATGATTATCATTATGAATTATGACACATTCTATCATTCTCACTTACTTAAGTCTAAGAAGATTTATTTATGTAGACCTATATAGCCTACACTATATATATAGGGTATATAGTATATATTATATAGCCTTCGATTTCAAACTTAAAATTAAAATGTGCAACTTGTTATTTGTTTATAAGTTAAAGCTATTTCACTTTCTTCTATGGAACTATAATATCATTTTTATAAGTACTGTATGTCTATCTAGAATTAACGAATTTGAAAACGATGTTTGGGTTTCTCCGCTTGAAATAGAAAGAGGATTTCAAAGTCAGCGTTTCCTTGGAAAGAATATTATGTAGTCCTCACAATAACATAATATAATGTTGGTCCCATGCCCTGCCTATGCACTAGTAAAATAGTTGAGATACGGTAAGCTTTGAAGTTCGATCTGATCTTCTAGAAAAGTTATTTTAAAAAACATGAAGAAAATGAACGATTAATTAATTCACAACCCCAATTTAAAGCTGGCTTAAATGAAACAATTTCTTGGCCATGAAATTGTTCTTTAAACTAATGAATAGCATGGGCTAAATATAGCTTCGCCGGAACTTTCCGATGAGATTGAACTCTATCAAAAATTCGAATGTTAAAACATTCTTTTTATCATATTGTATGTGTGTGGGGTTTTTTTCTTGTTTTTTTTTTTTAATGTTTTTTTTTTTGGGGGGGGGGGGGCAATTTTTTTTTTTTTTTTTTTAATCCTTTTTTAAACCAAAATTTTTTTTTTTTTTTTTTTTTTTTTTTTTTTTTTTTTTGGGGGGGGGGGGCAATTATGTTTTTTGTTTTATAAATCCTATTTTAAACCAAATGTATGTGTAGTAGGCTATAAATTTTAGCTCCCACTCAGCCCTTAGGGCTCCAGTCGTGCAGGAACGCATGGGAGCGGCGTTCCAAAATGCTCTTTTGTAATATATATATATCTATTTTTTAAAAAGAATTTCATTTAGCGCAGGTATCGGAATTTTATTTCGTGAAATCAGCGTCATCACATTAACATTTCCTTCACCTTCCCCTTGAAAAACAGGAAAGCCTGATATTTGGAGATTGGTCTGAAAATTCGATAGAATTTGTTGTCATTTCATTCGCAACAGTGCCGTCTTATTCTTATGGCATGGGCACAGTGGACACTTGCTTCTAGGGGGCCCCTTGCTTCTAGGAGACTCACTCTTATAAAGGCCTTATGCTGCAAATATTGTTCATGAATATTGAAAAGTTTTGGCAATTAAATTTTATTTAAAAATCAGTGGACAGCACTTTTCCCAATTTTAACCCACGATTTTATCGGCACGTTCCAAAATTAATATTATAAATGCGAATCACAATTTGGATACTTTTTAAACGTTTAAAGGGGAATAACTCTCGTCAACACGTTTTACATCTCCCAGATATGAATCGAAAAATAATAAAGTTAGAATATTGCCTTACAAGGATGTGGCTATTCGTACCCGGGTACCAGAAGTGAGTGGTTGGGATTAAAAAAAAATTAAAAATATTATTGTTAGGGTTGTAAGACAAAATGAGGTATCAAATGAAAGATAATTGAATGGACTATATATATGTTCGTAAACGTAATTCTTCAGACTAAAACATCAGAATAATTCAGTTTAATGGGACCCAGGTCCGAATAGCGGCGATGCGTATCCGGTTCCACTTTGACTACATGCTATTCGGATGTCATTTGTGGTAGTTTATGTTAGTTAAACTGAAGAAGTAAGTTTACAAATCTAATTCTGATTTTTATTGTGATTTTATAGATTAGGACGTTGATTATAATGGTTTAACCGTTTTAAAATCGGACTTAACGTTTTTATTTTATATCATTTATGAGACAAACAATGCCAACGAGAGGTTTTAAGAAAAGTTATAAAACTCAGTTTGTTGTTAATGCACAACCATAATTGTGTAAATCGTAACAATCTGACACAGTATCAAAGAATCCCTATTAAAATTTCCCCTTACTGTAAATGATTGAGGGAAATTCCAAGCATTTCAGCCTGGTTCCATTTCAAAATAGGGTTAGTCAAAAAGGCCATTTCTACTATTAAAAAAACAAATCAAAAGTCATTCTCCCTACAATAGCATCTTCCTTCACATCAATAATTCATCGATGCTGCCTGCTCCTGCCTTCTGTCTTTAGACATTTTAGCATTTGAAGCCTTCATGGAGATGTTGGGGTGCTTCTTCCTGGACTAAGTGATCCCAAATGGCTCATGGACTAAGTGATCCCAAATGGCTCATGGACTAAGTGATCCCAAATGGCTCATGGACTAAGTGATCCCAAATGGCTCATGGACTAAGTGATCCCAAATGGCTCATGGACTAAGTGATCCCAAATGGCTTATGGACTAAGTGATCCCAAATGGCTCATGGACTAAGTGATCCCAAATAGCCCATGGACTAAGTGATCCCAAATAGCTCGTGGACTAAGTGTCCCAAATGGCTCATGGACTAAGTGATCCCAAGTGACTCATGGACTAAGTGATCCCAAGTGACTCATGCACTAAGTGATCCCAAATGGCTCATGGACTAAGTGATCCCAAATGGCTCATGGACTAAGTGATCCCAAATGGCTCATGGACTAAGTGATCCCAAATGGCTCATGGACTAAGTGATCCCAAATGGCTCATGGACTAAGTGATCCCAAATGGCCCATGGACTAAGTGATCCCAAATAGCTCATGGACTAAGTGATCCCAAATGGCTCATGGACTAAGTGATCCCAAGTGACTCATGGACTAAGTGATCCCAAGTGACTCATGGACTAAGTGATCTCAAATGGCTCATGGACTAAGTGATCCCAAATGGCTCATGGACTTGGCTTTTCTTGTTGACCTTACACAGGAGCTGAATGTACTCTACAAGAATTAACAAGAACAGGGGCAACTTGTCCGTGTTGCCTTTGACAATGTCAGGGCATTCTACACAAAACTTGTGTTAGGGTTCTTAGAGAAACCTTTGCCTTTCCCCAACATGAAAAGTATTCATGGATTCGGGCACACCATTCAGTAGTTGCTATTGCACATCTACAGGAAGAATTTGATGACATGTATTTTGACTTCAAATCACACAGAGACACTTTTCACCTTCTTACTGATCCTTTCTCCTTTAATGTGAAAGATGCCCCCCCCCCTTTCCCTATATCTTCAAATGGAGCTGATTGATCTTCAGTGCAATTCTAATTTCAGGGACTGAATGGAGAAACAGTAGCGCATGGTCAATTTATGAGAGCAAAGCCCTCCACCTTCACTTAGATTTCGAGGTTGCTCAATCGGATCATGTGACTTTTTGGGAGTACTTATCTGCTTGAAAATCTATTTTCCCACTATGACATTTAACAAGTCAAAGTTCGGGTAAAAGCTTACTGATGAGCATCTTCAAGCTATACTGAGGGTTTCAGTTGCTTCCTCACTCAAGCCAAAGTTGTTCAGCTGTGTAAAAAGAAGCGCTGCCAGGTCTCTGGCAACGAGCAGTATGAGGAAGAAAGTGAAGCCTAGTTTTTGACAACCCTTAGTGTACTTTATTGAATTTGTTTTGTTTTTTTTTACATGATGTGGCCCAGTCTCACCTCCTGTGGCCCCCGGATGATTTGAGTTTGAGACCCCTGGTTTACAGTGAAGGCAGAGGCAGATGAAGAAAAAGACGGTTTACAACACTTCAGTGAAAATCTCAGCTTATAATAAGGTACATTTTAAAGTTATATTTTTTCATGAACTTCGAGTAGTACTATTTATTATTATGAGCCTAGAGTTGGCTTATAAATATAAGACTATAGACCTATAAGCCTATATATTCTATTAACTTAACTTAGACTACGGTATATAAATGTCTGAGTTATAATAGGGAGGGACTAGGACCTAATAGTACTAATAGTAATACTAATTAAATGCTGAAAATAGTCTTAGTTGACATGAAAATAGTCAGAAGGCTTAGATGATATGATGAACTTGTACATTGCGTTTGAACACTGATAGATTAATCATTATTTGAATTAATCAGTACGCAAAGAGCTGAAAAATTGAAATGAACATTTTAATGTTGTACACAATACAAGACAACATTTTTTACACTACAATGTAACTTTTATTTTGTATTACAATATAATATACTATTATAATTTTAAAATATAAAAATTTACAGCTCATACATTATTATATTATTGTATTCTAATTTTGTTTGCAGAGCATTGTTTTTTATTATTGGTTTAGATTTAAATTCAATGGACTTAAGGATGTCATTTTCCATGCACAGTTGAAAGCCAGTTCAAACGTTTTTGTCTCATTGTACTGCGACGTTGAATCGTACCTTTTTTTTTTTCGATTCATATCTGACGAGAGCTATTCCCCTTTAAAAGCTTTAAAATTGTCCAACTTTGATTTGCATTTATAATATTAATTTCGGAATGGGCTGATATATAATCGTGGGTTAAAATTGTGAAATTGGGAATTTTAAATCCTATTTAATTGTCAAAATCTATTACCATTCATTAAAAAATATGTAAAGCATGATGCATCTACAAGAGTAAGTATCCTGGAAACGTGGGGCCTCCCCACAAGCGCGGGCCCTTGGCCAGTGCCCACTGGGCCAATGCCTTAAGAAGGCACTGCCCTATTACTAGACAACTTGGCCGACACAACAGTTATGTTGGACGAAACTTGCCCTCGCTCATTCTCCGTGTTGCCAACGTGGCTTGGAATCCACCGATAGACTATATATACAGTGCCTCCTTTGACCCGGCAGTCGTCCACTGTTTCCAGAACAGTGGTAATCTTTTTGTTTTTAGTTTAGACTTATAGAGCACTTTTCCCCCTTAGTTCGAGACCAAGATGTGAGCCAGGAAAGACTACATATGGCTCTGGGAAATCGTTCTCCTAGTTAATCGGCATCGCACTTGATTCAGGGCCACGAGTGTTGCTTTGAGTCCAAAATCGAAGCTTGTGCTATTTATCCTCCCCCCCCTCCCCGGTCATGAGATCTCCTCTGCTCGAGGACTCCCATCTGGGTGCTGTATAAATGCATCTGTAGAGCTAGAAGTTGGGTGCTTGCTTGTATATTTCTTAAAAGTAAAATTTTGAACTGCAGTTAGGCCATATTATAACCTTCTATAGGTTTGGCCGGTTTGGTTGGCGGGGTGGTGCGTTGGGGAGGACCATATGAGCCTCAAGGCTCGGTGTTCGCTGATTTTCTTAAGTTAGTTAGTTAGTTCCATTTACTAGCTAAGTAGCACAGCAGGGTGGAGCTATAGTGAGCCAATGCTGACTTAGTAGCACAGCAGGGTGGAGCTATAGTGAGCCAATGCTGACTTAGTAGCACAGCAGGGTGGAGCTATAGGGAGCCAATGCTGACTAAGTAGCACAGCAGGGTGGAGCTA